CATCCCAGGAGTCCGATTAACATCAATAAAAAACTTAATTTCAGAAGCAAGCATATCAACTAAGTCTTCGTCAGATAAAAGTATCTGATTAAGTCGCTAAGGACGATAGACCGATTGCGTAACGGGAATGTTCAGTTTCATTATGAGCGGACTGTGATCAGAAATGACTATCGCTCCATAATCACACTCACTCACTAAGGGTAAGATCCGTTTATCGAGGAGAAAGTAGTCAATCCGTGAATAGCTCTTATGAACAGSGGAAAAGAACGAATACCGTCTCAGGGTCGGATTACGAAAACGCCACACGTCAACCACTCCATAAGTGTTAAGAAATGAATTAATTGACTGGGCCGATTTAGAAAGAGAGACCCTCCCCACTGTACTATGATCGAGGGATGATAGCACACAGTTCACATCTCCCCCAATTATGAGATTATGTGTTGAAATATTAGGTAAATTTGAAAAAAGCGTATTAAAAAATGTTTGATCATCCCAATTTGGAGCATATACYGAGACTAAAATGACAGGAAGTGCCTATAGTTTTCCCACCACAATAACATAACGTCCAGCAGCGTCAGTTTTAACACTGGATGCCGTAAATTGCACCTGTTTACTCACTAAGATGGCTACCCCTCTCGATTTAGATTGGAAATTAGACTGAAACAACTGACCAGACCAGCGCCTGCTTAGATTTGCACTGTCTGCCTTACGCAAATAGGTCTCCTGCAAAAAAGTAATATTAGCATCAACTTGTCTTAAATGTGTCATAACATTACTAAATTTCACTGGACCATTGAGGGATTTCACATTCCAACTCACACAGTTAACTGGGTGACTGTTGATGAACCTGTTAATATTAGAACTGCTCATGTATGGTCAATTGGACTGTAGTACAATAGACACAAACCATCAGAAAAAAATAACCTGAAAGACATTCTTAAAACAAATAGATCCGGTATAGTCCCACCCCTTTCTCCTAAAAAACACGGAGAACCCAACAAACAAAAAAACCACACATTTGTGCTTATACTGGGGGACTTAACTCCCTGTCTGGACTCCAGCCACAACTAAATAACAGTAACAAAAAAAGGGGTTCCCTTGCCTTAAAGTAATATTACTGTTTATGCTCCTTGCTGTACTGATAAATAAATCACTAACCAAGATCTGGACAGACCCCCTGTGAAACTCTCGTTCATAGAACAAAAAGAGGAATATTGTCCCTGAGAATAAAGTCTAAAATTAAATCAAGATATAACGAGGGACATAAAGTTAGAAGGTTCATTACAACCTGACAGTCACAATGGGTCGATGAGGGTTGGACCCGCGGTCAACGCCGGTCCTCGTTGTCCGTCGCTGAGATGATCCTCTTTTTAACGTAGTCCATTGCTTTATTGGCATCCAGGAACTCCTTGTTTTCCTCCCCATGAGAGATGCGGAGCCGTGCAGGAAAAAGCAAGCCGTAGCGAACATCTCGTCGGTTGCGAAGAAGCCTCCTCACCTCCGTAAACGTCATCCGAGCCCTGGCCACAGCTGCAGTGTAGTCAGTTGTGATGATAATCGGTGCCTCCTTAAAACGAAGATGGCCGCGGCTCCACGCCCTACACAGTATTTCTACACATTCTTGATAATAGTGCAGCTTAGCAACAATGACCCGTGGCTTATTGCCTGACCTGTTCCCACCTGGAGAGCGATGGGCTCGGTCAACCAGTGGCTCTTTATCCATCTGTAGAACCTCTGCTAGCAGTTTAGCCACTGCTGAAGTGGAGCTGGATTCTGGCATCTCGGGAACTCATATAATCCGCACATTGCACCTTCTCATGCGCCCTTCCATATCGTCACACTTCTTTTTGAGCCCATCGACTTCTTCCTTCAGTTCCAAGACGGTGGTGCGCAGAGCAACAACCTCATCGTACCAGGTTGACAAGCCGTCCTCCACCTCTTTTACACTCTTGCTTAAGGTGGTCTAGGTCAGCGCGTTGTAGCATTGTGCCGTTAGCCACCTCCGCTCTCACTGCTTGAAGCTCTCCTTTTATAAGAATGAACTCTTCAGCCAAAGCTGCCTTTATTTCGGATTTGATCACAGCTGAGAGATCGGTTTTTATAGCGGCAAGAATGTCAGACTTCAAGGAGAGTGCGTCCACCTCGCTGCGGGAGGGAGAAGGAGGTGCCGAAAATCCGGCTTTAGCTGCAGCCTGCTCCGAGGCGGCGTCGTGCCTAACAGCCGTCGAGCTRGAATGTTTGCCTTTCCTYGAGTTTGTCGCCATTCTTCTACTCTTCCAGGCAAGAATCACTCAGGGGTCGAATCCGGACAGACCAAATGCTCAAAACAGCAAGGACATTTAGTAGAGAACCACAAACAGAACAAGTAGGAGCGGGAGCCCACGCGACACACGTCTTACTCCTCCGCCATCTTGCCCCTCCTTTACTTAGCTGATACAGATAAACGTGACGTTTAATCCCCTGTAGTCCCTGGACGCCCTCATGTCCTAGTCACATGACCAATTAAAATCACTTTCGTGGGTAAGATTTGCTCTCTGTAAAAATCTGTTGCAAATTGTGTCAAAAGAACAGACTTCAGGCTATACATCAAATTTTAAATTGTGCTGATAGTCTAAGTAAAACTAGAGTTATAAATAAATCACAGAGCCTTTTTTAAAATGTTTGTTATATTTGATGTGGAGAGGGGCATTGAGCGGACTGACCAGGGAAATCTCCAGTCTGCTTGGTGGCATTAATCATATTAATCATCAAATGCCAAAAAATAATCAATTAAAGGTTTTCTGATGATTAATTGTACATGATACGATTTTACCCAGGGTAGTTGCATCATTAGGATGTTAGGATCTTCAGCTCCGACCAATCAGTGTCCTGGGATTCCCTACACATATACACATTTGCTTACTTATGCAGTCAGTTTACATCTGGTGTTCTCGGGTTTATAATACATAGAACATATTTATTTAAATTCTGTTTTTAAACTAGCTCGGTAAACGTTGACGTTATGTAAAATGCAAATAAAAACGGAATGGAATGAATAATAATTTTTTTGTGTGCGCTTTTCTTGACACTCAAGTTTACTTTGCATAGTTTAACATAAAACAGACACAATATTAAAATGCACAGTAAAAATAAGTACAAAATAAAATTTAAATAAGACTGCAGTTGCAGTCACAAATGCGTTGGCTACTTTAAGCAGATGAGTTTTGAGTTTGGATTTAAAATGTGGCAATGAGTCTGTTATGGATTTGCACATTTCACAAATACATTTTACTCACAGCACAAATAAATAGTAAATATATCAAATATTGAAACTAAGAATTTATACCATTTTTAAATTAATTTATTTATTTTTTGTTTGTAAAGATTCACGTCATTTTGAATTTTATGGAAGCAACTCGTCCTAAAAAGTTGGTAGTGCTCTGTTTGTAGTGACACATTTTCCAATGGTACTGTCTCCTGCATGATGCCCACTAACCTGAGATGCACAGAATCTATTCAGCTGAAATTCAGTGCCTGCAGTCGGTGTCCTGGCAGGAGATGGGGGTCAGTGACTCGTCAAACTGAGCTCAGGACAAAAGCATCACTGAAAGCGAGCCTCGTCAGCGGAGTGGTGAAACTCGCTAAACCCAGAACTCCTCTGAGTTATCTGCTGAATTAAAATGAATTGAGCGTGACGTGCTCTTGCTCTCAGTAAATAAAGCAAAGCCACTTAATTTCATCTGCAGCTGCACAGAGACCGGCAGAGGGAAACAACCAAGAGGCTCTTCCTGATCCGCGTGACGAGTGTCCAGCTTGAAGCGTTCAAGGCATTTTTGATGCAGCATAATTTTCTTTTTTTATGCTAAAACTGCAGGCAAATTAATTTTCCATTTTCTACACAGTTTATAAAACTACATGCGTTTGTGTGAACGTAAACTCATGAAATTACATTTAAACAGAAGAAAACAAAGACAAGCTTCACTTTCTCACTTCACTAAGTGTAGTATTTATGAAGACACAGTAATTCGTACCCACAAGATGAAAGAAATTACTTCAGGTGACTGGTCATCTGTTTTCAGGTTGGTTAGTTTATTTATGCTGTTTCAAGATCCTAAACTGACCTTTCTGATTAAGGAGCAGGTAGTTGTGCGTCCCAAACCTGAGCCGGCCCCAGCACCAGAGCCAAAGCCCGCTGCTGCTTCCCCTCCTGCTCCAGAGGAGGCAGACCTAACCTGGGAGGATAAGGAGGACAAGCTGGACGCCGAGAACATTCAGCCCGATTCTGAGAATTCAAATGCCACAGACAAAAAGTATCAGTATAAAGAAGGTGAGTGTCTGAACCTTCATTTCTGTCACTAACTACATTTACATGGACATAAGTAATCAGATTAAAACGTCGTTCAGAATAAAAATGCATCATGTAAACAGCCCGTTTGGATTATTCTGATCCGACTGAGCTCGATCCGAATGAATTTTTAATCCGAATGAGACGAGTGGGTTATGCTGATTGATAATCGGAATGACGTGCATGTAAACAATTAATCAGATCATCCTATTCTGATTGTGGAAAACTGACCTGAGTGCGCAGGTCTTCTGACTTTTATCCACTGGCTTCTGCTCTTTAGAGGAGGCGGGGCAGCAGCGCTCCAGCTGCGCCGCGCAGAACTTTTCCTCCTCGCTCTCTTAACAGATGAAAAAGGAGACAAACAGCAGACGTTGCTTCGCAAAAAATAAAAAAAAAAACGCATATTGCTTCATCTGCAGCTCAACCGGGGAGTAACGACGTCTCTACCATTATTAAAAGCTGACACGGGTCCATCCTGAGCGCACAGAAGAGTTTTGTTTATCTTTGTAACACGGAAGTAAAGCTGAAAGTTTACAACACTGAGCATGTCCGGACTTTTATTCTGAATAAATGTCCGGTGCTTGTAAACACTTGTCATGATCGGATTGTGTCCACGTAAACAGTACATTTGGATTATTCAATCTGAATACATTTCAATCCGATCAAAAGATTTTGTGCATGTAAACATAGCTAGTGATACACGGCAACTCAGTCTGTCCTTGAGTCAAGATAGGAGGTGTGTGTGTGCGTGCGTGCGTGCGTGCGTGCGTGCGTGCGTGCGTGCGTGCGTGCGTGCGTGCTTGTTTTGGCTACAGAGTGAGAACCATGTTAGCTTTTTAAGCAATTTTTGGACAGTGAGGACATTTTCCTGGTCCTCACTTTGTTTGCAGCTCTGCTGTGCTTTACGAGTTAGGTTTAGAGGTATGGTGTGAGTTAAGTTTTGGTTCAGATTAGAGTTAACTGTAGACCAGTAATGGTTAATTTTAGGGAAAATGTCTGGGTTAGGCATAAATGCAGTTGACGTTTGTTCTGATCTAAACAACTTGACATTGCCTAGGAAGGAAGAGAGTGAAATATCTGTTTCTAGTTTACCCCAAATTGGAGAAAATAGTTTTGCCACTGGACTCATCAGTGCTCCAGTAAGCCAAGCATCAGATCAGTGAAAAGAAGAGAGCCTCAGCTCTCTGTTTTTGGTGTTGAAAGGGGCAATAATCTTGCAATAAAAAACAGAGGTCATTTAAAACATTTCAAACTGTTACTCATGCAAAAGTTGTTTGGAACCCTAAACTGAAGCCCAGAGGATTTTTTTGGTGGACACTTAAATATCAGAAGTGTTGACTCAAAGACTTAACAGTTGAATCGTTTGCTTGGGAATTCTAATTTGGATTTTTTGTTTCTATCTGAGACATGGTTACAAAGTGTTACTCCAGTTAATATCTCTTCAGTAGATGGTTACCAATGTTTCAGACAAGACTGAGCAACTGGAAGAGGAGATGGAGTTCTGATATATGTAAAAAAAAAAAATGGCATCAAATGTGAACGTTTGTACTTCAAAACTGCAAGTTCTCTGGAGTATGTGGCTGTTAAAGTTGTTTTGTCCCAGCAAATGTCTTTTTACATCATAGGCTGTTACAGACCTCCAAATGCCAATGACAATTTCTATGAACAACTAAATGATCTTATGAAAGAATGTAATGGCAAAGAAACAATCCTTATGAGGGATTTTAACCTTATTTGGGAGGACAAGTTGAAGAAGAAAAAGCTAAAAGCCATTACAGACAAATGTTAGGAATGTGCAATATGGCAAAAAAAATCATATCACGATATACATTATGATGAGTGGCGGTAACGATATATATCAGGATATAGAACTTATAATAGAAAATAAATAAATCACACATTGAGTGGAATAAATATGTATAGGTAAAAAATTTAGACCTTAAAATCTCCTTTTTTAAGGGACACTTTAAAGTCTCCCATAAAAATCTAAATTTAAGGGAGATCTACCTGGTTAAATCAAAGATATACTGTATATATAAACACACACACACACACACACACACACACACACACACACACACACACACACACACAC